CGGAGAAAATGAGGGTGATTTTTGTAGGAAGGGGGGGGGCGGGGGTGGGGCATTTATTTTTGAGCAAAATAGTCTTCAAATCTTTAAAGACCCAGTTTTTTAGCCGTACTTTTTGCTGTTCATTTCCTTGAATCCGGAATTTGTATTACAGGAACAAGGCAATCTCGTGAAGTTGGGCGAAGTGATGCACAGCTATCCATACTGTTGGCGATCGGATACCCCTCTGTTGTACATGGCCGTTCCATCATGGTTCATACGCGTCGAACAAATTGTCCCCAAACTATTAGCAAATAACGATAAAACTTATTGGTTAGTTTCAGTTTTTGCGCTTTAAATAAGTAAAAATAAAGGAAAACCTTAGCGGAAGGGTTTACGTTGCTTATAGATGAAGGAAACTTTCTTAGCGCTTTTACTGAGTTGTGAAAAAGCTATCGATAATTTGGGAGTTTGGTGTGACGAAGTAAACCTCTAATTATAGCCTCATAATTGAAGATTAATTTTCATCAGTGGGTAATAGAAAGGTATTTTGAAGTAAGAAGAAGAGAAAATAATATTAGGAAATTAATAAAAGTAGTAAAATTATAATAAAAGTAGTAAAACTACTTTGATAAAATTATTATAATTGTAAGAAATGTTTTGGTCCATTAAGTCGTATACATTTCTTACCGTTACCACCACTGGACTTCGTCAGTACGGCGATTGTGATAATTGTAATTTGTGTAAATTAAACGCTGGAACAGTATGTTTCGTCTATTTTTTAAAGATAAATTGGTGCTTCATCGTACTGACGAGGTCCAGTCGTGGTGATGAGTAGGAATGTACACGGTTTAATGGGCCGAAAAATTCCTTTTCAGTTACTTTCTCTATTTTCCTGTTTTGCTTGTCTGGATAATTTCATAATTTCTCACGTAATTCTGCTGTCATTCCTAAAATCATTCTTTATGCTAGCCAGAAAAAAATTGCCAAGCTTGTTTCTAACCGGCGCTTGGAAGAGGGCTCCGTCGAGAAGTTTGCCAGCGACCAGTTGTTTTTTAGCGATTTCCCCTACAGAAGCATTTGGCAAGGTTTTAGTTATTTTGGGATGATGTATGCTGAGAATCATTATCTCCTAGGACACTGTGAGATTTTTTACCAATTTGTGGATACTTTATCAACAGGAATTTTCTGATTTTGACTAGTTTCTGCGTTGAATATGAACTCAATTCACATTTTTTTTTTTTAAAGTTTGATGTTTTTTGTCTATTTTTATGCTTTTTTGTTTGGCTGGATTTTACCTCCTGTAGCTGGATTGCTTTTGTCCTTTTTTTTTTGGCTATTTTTCCCCACTCACGATTTTCTGGGCACTTTTTTTAAGAAAAAAATACCACTTATGCTTGGAGAAAAGGTTTTTCCACAAATATGAGCTTGATACGGACCCTGCTTTGAAAATTGGATTGAATCGAATAATAGCGTTGTTTCAGGGTTCCAACGTTTGTGAAGGAGAAGCGATTTGCTAATTGGTTAAAGGATGCCCGTGATTGGGCAGTGTCGAGAAATCGATTCTGGGGAACGCCAATCAATCTTTGGGTTAGCGATGATTTAGAAGAGATTGTTGCACCCGCTTCAATTGCTGAACTGGAAAAGCTATCCGGACAAAAAATCACGGATTTGCACCGAGAAAAGTAAGCACAGTAGGCCGTTTCGGTTCAATTTAATCTCAGATTTATTACAGAAAGAACAGCCCACTTCACAGAACAACTATTTGCTAATCAAAAAGTCAAAAACCTCTCCTTATTTGCTTTTATTCGGCAGCAAAGGCGCTGAATTAACTGGAGTGATAACAAAATGCCAATAGGAACCATTCGCTGACAAGGCTGGTCAATGGCTTCCTCTTTCGAGAGTTGCTTACAAACAAGTTGATGGCAAGTTTGACTCCTTGGCATATGCCAGCATCAGTTTGCTATCGAAAAGAATGAACGTGTTGTAGAAGATTGATTATCCCACCGGCGAAGTGAAACATCCGGCCTACTGTGCAACAAAATTTTTACTTTCGAAGGTTGAAGAGAAAATATGAAGGGAGGAAAACGAAGTAAAAGCGAAGTAAGATGCGGAAATAAAAAAAGCGAAGTAAAATCTCGTTCATAATTTTTTCTGAACCAAATAAGCGAATCAGTATCTAATATAAAATAAAATTTTCTAGTGTTGACCATATAACGATCCCATCAGTAACCGGTCGAGGCGAGTTACATCGTGTAAGCGAAGTGTTCGATTGTTGGTTCGAATCGGGTTCAATGCCGTACGCACAAAATCATTATCCGTTTGAAAATCAAAAAATTTTCGAGGAAAATTTCCCAGCCGATTTCATTGCTGAAGGTTTGAGTTTCTTTTTTTTCCCTCTGATTTTTTGTAAAATTTTAAGGACCCTAAAATTAGTGGAAAAGCAACATTCGTTCGATCTTTCTACAGCGATTAAAACATCATCGTGATCATATTTTGTAAAATTTTAAGGTTTTTTTTAAGGAAAAGCAATATTTGTTCGATCTTTCTATAGCGATTAGAAGAACATCGTCGTGATCGTGAAAAAAAAAAAAAATTGGTGAATGGGTTATCGATGCTTGCAATGTATCAGCGAATAGTGCCTGCCTAGAGTTTGACCACTTGAGTGACCTTTGGTGAGATAATCTATATACAGATAGGAAGTGGGCAGGGAAGGGGGGGGGGAATGAAAGGGGAGGGGCGGTACGGCTTGAAGCGGGAGATGGCTGTCATAGCTGCGCATCCCGAGATTTTCCTCTGTAGTATCGAAGCTTACTCACAGCGTTAGTCCAGGCAAAAGTGGTGAAATTACTTCAGAATACGAACGAAGGCATTCAAAAATAGTCCAAGAATGTACTAGTAGCGACCATCTGGTCAAGCTGCGATGGCTCCGTCTTCGAAGATTGTTTAAAAATAAGCTGATAGCGGGGTTCCTATCATTTGCCGCTACCAATTTTTGTTCATGATAAATGAACGAATCGTAGAAAGGCCCTTCTGGCGAAGTTAAAAATGATTTTGCTTAGTGTTTTGCCTATTTTTTGAAAACTTATTTATTCAAATTATAAACTTCTGAAGCGATTTTAGGAATCGATCAAACTCGTGGATGGTTCTACACACTTCTGGTGCTATCAACGGCACTTTTCGACCGACCACCGTTCAAAAATCTTGTCTGTAATGGATTAGTACTCGCTTCGGATGGTTCAAAAATGTCAAAACGATTGAAAAATTATCCGGATCCAATGGAGGTATCCATAAAATGCTTCTGTTTAAATTCCCTAAAAAGCTCTGATTGATATTTTCTTTGGCTCTTCTGTGTACCTTTTTTTATGGGCTTGTGCTGGGTGGATTATCTTTTGGCGTAACTTCCACTTTCGTTCGAATAAAGTGCTCTTTAATTGAGCCGGATAGTCATTTGCGGTAAAATAGGCGACAGATTTGACCACGGATTTAGGTGGTAATCGAAAAAAAAGAACTTTTCTGCGATTTTTCACTTTCGTAATAATTATTTACTTCGACCATGCAAATAATTATTTACTTCAAAGTGGCGACAGTCCCGTAACTCCCCGTTTTTACGTAGATGCGGGGAATGGTAGAAGGCAGATTAAATCCATTACTTTATTTCTTTGA